CTTTCCAAATACCATCCTTAATATGGTGAACTAGATGAGCGCCCGGAGCTTGATAGGCTTTGTTAATCATTACTGGTGCTTGATGGGAAGCTGCAGGGATCTTTTCTTCTTCGAGACCTCTTGGTAATGAAACTGAGCTACCTTTGATGTTACCTGCAAATTGAAGCAACTCAAAGATAGGTACAAAAGAATTCCGGAAGCTTTTAAACTTGAGTAATATACAGAAATTTCGGAAGGAACTGTCACCTGTTTCATGTGCCGAAGTCAACCACTCCCTCTCTTTGCCTCTACTGCGATCGTATAGGGTACTTAAAGACTCATTTGGGCTTGCACAATTGGAATTCCAAGGCAAAGCTACAAACGGTGAATTTGATTTTGCAGAAGCATTTATGCTTCTAGTCTCTTTATGATTATTATCATAACCAAGAAAATCAACAGGATCAGTTGCTTCATCAAGCTGCGCTGGTTCATTTAGGTCAGCCAACCCAATTGAGCTTCTCAAACACGAATTGGATGTTGAAGCATCTTTTCGGCTATCACCCTTTGCACCACCACCAAGAAACAATTTTGTTCCACTCTCTTGAGCAACTACATAATCTCCATTAGCAGGATAACAAGGATGTAAAGATCCTACATTATCTCGCAACTGCCCACCTTCTTCTGTATCTAAGTAATCATCGGCTGGAAGGTGAAGATCAAACAATTTTTTCCGGACCTTTGAGGGCCTAGCCTCCAAAACATCACAGGCTTTCGAAGAATAACCATTTTGCATTTGAACTCGACCGGGCTGTAAACAATCTCCTTTTGAAGAACTAAAAGGAGAATTGACAATTTCAGTACCAGATGTAGATGGTCTAGTATAACTAGAATTTTCCAAGGGAAAGTTTGCGATGTTCCATTTCCGGACATCCTCAGATGGTACTTGAGGTCCTAGGTGACTGGATGAACATGATGGCTCCATTGATGAGCGATGTTTATGCATTTCCTTCCTTTTAAATTCGTCCATCATGTCCCTTTGAATTCTGTAAAGGCGGTGAAGTTCAACCACCTACAAGCAAACCATTGCATAAGTATATTTGCAACGCTGTTGACACGAGACAAAAAAAGGATTACATGGCAGATGAAGATATTTGAAGCAAGAGAGTCCAAGAGACCACGGCGTTAGGATATGTAGAACCATACTGAAAACCAAAATTTCCCACTAACTTCACAAAAAAGAAAAGAAAGAAAAAAAGGGAAGCATTACCTGATTCCTGAATATGCCCTCGTGTTCAAGCATTTTCTGCTTTAGAATGTCCTTATCATACCCTGGATATGCATCAGCTATAGTCCTTGGCGTGAAACCATTACAATACTGCCCGTTTGGTAAGGTCTTATCTCCATAAAATAGGGGCCAACTGCTGCTGTTAGCATCCTCATTAAGGTCCCTCATAGAGTAATAGCTTGGTAAGAATCCTTTATAGTGCACTTGTGTTCCCATTCCTGCCAAGATTTGGCATCAAAAAATTTAATTAAAACCAAACAGTTTATTCAGAACCTATGCATCTATTTACAAACATATGATCCCAACACATTACAGCAAACACCAACGGCATTTCAAACTCCTGTGGGCATAATGTAAAGCACATCTATTTTGAGAGGGCCAACATATCCTTACACATTTAGCAAAATGAAGGTTAAGCGAGATTAAACAGGACTTTGGTGTCTAAATGCAGATAGTTCAAATATCTAATTCCAGGAGGATTAAAAGATAAATTTTATCCAAGAAAACGTAGAATAACATGATACATGAAAGCACACATAGAATTAAAATAGATATTCTGTAGCACACAAATATGACAAATTGAGGGAGCTAGCCTAAGATGGTTTAACTATATCCTACGTAAACCTTCATATGCACCGGTTTACAGGTGCAAACACCATGATGATTGAAAAAAATATAAGGACTTAGACCTAAATAACATAAAGGAAGTTGTATCTATAGACATACCATATCTTAAAATGATTGCAGAGTTAGCTAAAATCTAAGCACAACAGGTTCGATAATCGATAGCACGAGTAGAGATTTAAGACTAAGTTGTTGTTATACTTACATAAAGTCCGGTGTTCCTCAAGAGTCTTTTAGTTATGCGTTGAGACTTGTATGTTCGTGTAGGGGTAAGTATGAGAATTAGAGATTCTCTAATTTTAGAGAACCCCTAACTTGCCTTGAAAGACAAATTATTTTCACCAACTAGAGGATATCTTCATTGACAGGCCCATGGTTATACCCTAAAACACAAATAAGAACATCAGAACGCGTTGAAGAATTTTATGAAGAGAAGATCAATTAATTTTATGAGTTCCCTTTTACATAAATCAGCAATTAATGTTTTATTAACATTTCCATGTAACCGGTTGTACAGATTACAAATTAATGATGACGAATTAGCACATGCAAGATTATCTCCAGGAGTAGAAAACTAACAATTTAATAGAATCAAACAATACAACAATTTAATACACAAGTAAGGATAAGAAAGCAGATGATCAAATATCTGACAAAATGATACGAGAAATAGTAAAAGGTGATGGAGTATGCTATCTGAAGCTTAAAAACAGAATCACTTGTCTGCATCACCAATGATATCTTCTCCATTTCTTTCTTTAAAAGTTCTTTTACATAGATAGAGAGAGGGGACAGAGGAATAAAGGAAAAAGGAGAAATAGACTCACAAGATGTAAGACGACTTTCTCTATTTAAAGTCACCATACATGAAAACCACCTTTAGAGATGTATCACAATGGAAAATGATAATTAATGAACTATTCCTTTCTAGATTAATTAGTTCTCTTGCGTCGAGTTTAACATGCGACGAGTTAAAGTACTTCTCTTGCGTCGAGTTTAACATGCGACGATTCTTGGATATTGGAGCATGTAGTCTGCATCGAAAGATAAATGTATGTGTTTCAACCAAGTAAACTAATCCCAAATAGACCTGCCATAAATATTCTTAGAAACCTCACCTTAGTATTTTCAAAGGACAAATTGCACCAAAGCTACCCAATTATTGCACGCAAGCAGCTTAATTATTGCACACACTCTGCACGATTCTCATCGGCAACAAGGACAAAAAACACCTAGTTTTTTTTCTCCTAGAGAACACTTACAAAATCCAATATATGAGACTTGCATATACTTTTCCAATTATTCATTTGTTAAAGTTATGTCCACCAGCGGTTTCAAGACTTAAAACTAATTGCTCCCTATAATAGCATACAGTAACAAGGAACCAACTCGTCTTGTCCGTCATTAATTTGAACCACAATGCAGTGCCCAAGGATACAAGAGGAAACAAACAAGACAATGGACACCAGTCAAGATTGCAATTCATCTGAAAATTTGTCTCTAAGGAGCACCAAAATCCAAAACTCTCCAATTCCGTAATATACTCATGAAGACAGAAACAAGAATATCAGGAGGCCTTGAAGAATTTTATGAAGAGAAGATCAATTGCATAGATATTGTCCTGAAGAAGACTCTTTCAGGGTTTTTTTCCCAAAAACAGGATATGGAAAAAACTATTTTGCTTAAAATATATCTTTCAAAAGCTTAACTTCGACGGATTTCCTTTTACATTAATCAACAATTAATGTTTTGTTAACATTTCCATGTAATTGGTTGTATAGATTACAAATTAATGACACCGGATTAGCACATGCAAGATTATCTCCAGGAGTGACTATGCACGCGACTTGTGAACGTGTGGACTTCTCTTTTGTACTCTTTCCTAAGCTTAACGTGCAAAAAATCGTGGATACGGGAACATGTAGTCAGCATTGAAAGATAACTTTGTTTCTACCAAGTAAAACAATCCCAAATATACCTGTTAAAAATACTCTTGGAAACCTCGCCATCATGATTTTCAAAGGACAAATTGCACCAAAGCAGCCTAAGTATTGCACACACTCTGCACGAATCATACAAACAACATGTGGAAAACATCCTAACTATTTTGTCTCCTAGAGCGCACTTCCAACAACGCACGAGACTTTTGTGGACATTTTCAATTACTGTTTTGTTAAAGTTGCGTTCATACGCACCGGTTTCAAGACTTAAAATTAACTGCTCCCTATAGCATACAGAAACGAGAAACCAACTCGTCTTGTCCATCGTTAAATAGAACCACAACGTTGTGCCCAAGGATACAAGAGGAAACAAACAATAATCAAGATTGCAATTAATCTAGAAAGTCGTCTCTAAGCATCACAAAAATCTTAACTTTTTTTCTCCTAGAACACACATTCAACAACACATGAGACTTCCGTGGACATTTTCAATTACTGTTTTGTTAAAGCTGTGTTCACACACACCGGTTTCAAGACTTAAAACTAATTGCTCCCTATAGCATACAGTAACGAGGAACCAACTCATCTTGTCCATCATGAACTAAAACCACAATATAAAGCACAAGGATACAAGAGGAAAAAACAAGACAACGGACAGTAATCAAGATTGCAATTAATCAAGAAATTCATCTCTAAGCAGCACGAAAATCCCCGACTCTCTAGTTATCAAAATCTGCTAACAAAGACAAGCAACCAATCTTGTAATAGCACATAACTTAGATTTCAATGTACTCCACTCTCACCATGAACTTCCTAAATTGGATTTTAATGACTAGTATAACTCTTTCTTCTAATAAAGTTTCAATCTTTACTCATGCAATTCAAAGTTTTAACCTTTACCCAAAACAAATCACTTTATAAGCAACAAAGTTCCAATCTTTTTCACTTGTTAGAGTAAATGAAGCAAAAAAAAGATCCAAGATCAAAAGTAAAATTCAATCTCCAGATAACACAATAAATACCAAAAGAAAATGTTAAACACAATTACCCATAGAATCCAAAACTTGCTAAACAAAGCCAAAAAATAAATAAAAAAAGAAATATTCTGCTCTTGGATTTTCAAAGTCAAATAAGAATAAATCTAAAAAAAAGTAAAATATACAAGAATTTACCTCAACCCCACATCTTGGAAACACTTTTCCTCAACACCCTTTAAATGGATTGAACAATGAACAACACTAGCAGCAATTTAACAAATTCAAGAATCATGAAGAATTGAGTGACCCCAAAAAGAAGAAGCAGAGGAACAAAAGAGGACAAAGTAATAAATAGTACTTATAATAATAAGTACACCCTATATAAAAATATGTCATTTTTTTCAATACAGTATAAAATAAAATAAAAAGTAAGTCATATAAATTCGAACAAACAGAATAATAATAATTAAATAAAAATTAGAAGGAAAGAACAAAGAGGGTAGTTTGATAATACCATTGAAGAAGCTCAGATCCTCATAAAACTGATATAAGATTGTAGATTTCAATCTGCTGGGGCCACAAGTTCTCAGAAAGAAAGAAAAATAAAAAACTTTTTTTTAGAGAGAGAAGAGAAAATCAAGAAGAAGAGAGAGAAAGAGAGACAGACAGAAGTTGTATGAGACTTCAAAGGTTATGTTGTGTAATAGTACTATATTTTTTTTTTGTAAAAAAAGGAAGAAAGAAAGAGAAAGAGAAAGAGAAAGAGAAATCCCAGATAAGAAAATCTTGACACAAACAAACGAGGCTTCTATAACAACAGTGACATGAAATTTGTCAACATCCGGTCTCTTTTTTAATTCCTATGCTTCTTTTTTTTTTTTCCTATTTATATATTATCGTCAAATCTCTCTATAACGTATATAATAGACATATAAATATTTTACTTTTAAGTTGAGTATGTAAATTTAGACACTTCAAATCAATTTCACTGTGTATAAATATACATATTAACAAAGAGTGTTAAAGTCTTTACCAGGAGTGTTAATTACCGCTTAAAGTACATATTTAGTGACAATTAAGTTATTGCCGCTAAAGATCATTTTTTATGTAGTGGCAATATCGAAGCGTTCACAAGATATCATAAAAACAAGTTGAAGTGTTTAGCTAATGGTTGAGCAAATTGAGGTGTTTAGATATGCAATATTGAGGTGCTTATTTATCGGTTGAAACTAAGTTTGAGCGTATGTATATATTATGCTTATAAAAGTTAATCATTACTCTTTGTGGTCTGATTTACCTGTCTTTTTTTTTCCTTTTATACAAGGCCTTAAGCAAATCTTGATTAAAAAGGTAATTAATTAATTATTCTTATTTACTAGTATTTTATCTCAATTTATTACTATTATCTTTTTCATCGTATTAATCCTTTTCCATATTGAATAAGGATAAAAATGAAAATTAATAATTAATTATATTTTGATTTTCTTAAATAATACTTAATTATTTTAAATGAGTTGTTTTTAATAAGTATGATAACTGAAATAAATAAAAGGAAATATAAATTAAAAAAATATTAAACTTATTATAGAAAATGAGTTATTGGAGTTGTAAGTTGTAACACTCCCCTTTCTCTATCTTTAATCTTTCATGTTCCTTAGTTTCATTATAAATAAATAAAATATGTGTAAAAAGAAATGGGCCATTTTCTAGATTCTCTCCACCTTCCTTGCTTTTTTAATAAGAGTTTTTTTATAAACCCACCCTCCCCCTCCCCCTCCCCGCGCTTTATATTAAACGCATAATAAATAAATATGTTATTTTATTTAATTTTAATTGTCAAAAGTTTAAAAATAAACACAAAAATATTTTGAATCTTTGAGGAAAAGCTGATCAATAGCATCAATAAAAGACAAAAAAAATAAGTAAAAAATTGGACACATGTTTTTCAAATTTGATTTTTGAGTGCCTTTTTTGTTCAATGGGAATTTATTTATTCCTTATACATTTGCAATAGAATATTTCATTTAAAGTAGTTTTTTTTTTAAAAAGTTCTCACCGTTAAACATTACTTGTGTTGTGCTAGTCGAATTCTGTAAAAAAAAAAGATTCTTTTTATGGTCTTTATGTCTTTCTCCTATATTTCTTTTTTTACTTTTTTTTTTATTCGATGTGTGGTATTTACACGTATATTCGATTATATGTTAATATTAACGTTAATGTTTGAAAATTCTGATGCCACCTAAAGTGGTTAGCTATAATTAAGTTGTAGTTTTCTTATTTGATTTTCAACTTTTATATTGAAATCTTAATTGATTTAGATTTATGTCGTGTAAGATTTGTTCAAAGCTGAAAAATTATTTTATTAAGTAATAATTGGCATACTCTTTAAAAGATTTTTTTTACATATTTAAAAACTCAAATTCAAGATTTTTGATTGATGGTAGATAATAATAATATATACGGTTTTGTGACTTCGTAAGAATTGAATGGATTTAATTCAAGTTAGTGTTTTAATTTAATATTGTACATAATTATTAATACTTAGAAGTTATATGATGTTTTGCATTTTAATATTTTGTACGTTACACTAACTTAAAATTATGAACTTTCTAATTATGCATCTATGTTGTAATGTGCTGGTTTGCTCTAGTTTAATTGCTAGAACAAATTTAATGTTGTAATTTATGTTACAAATTTGAGGCTTGCTCATACATATTATAAGAAAAATAATATTGCATTACATGATAATAGCTTCTTTTGATTTTCTTATTTGATATTCAGTAATTTTTTTATCCAATTGATTTATATAATCATGTTACATAAGGCTTATTGAAGAGTAAAATTACTTTTTACCATGATTTTTTTCATTTCAAAGTCCGAACACAAGATTTTTTTATGTTTCTCAATGTTCATTGAGCTCCGACTAATCCAAATGCACACCTATAAGGCCCCATTAAAGTGGGGTCAGAATCGCTCTCTTATTAGAAGTTTTCAACTTGCTATCATTTAATTAAGGTTTACCTAACTCGTAAATAATATAGACAACCAACTTGATTAACCTTCTAAGCTAGTTGATAATCAAAATTTTAGAAGAATAGTAAGTATTTTAATAAATTACTCTCTTTGTTTCAATTTCTGTGATTTACTTTTTTTTTAGTCAGACCCAAAAGGAGTGACACATTTCTATATTAAGTAACAATTTAACTTTAAAATGTCTATTTTATCCTTACTGAAATGATTTCTAGTCACACAAATTTTTATCATTCATTTTAGAATACAAGTTTTAAAGTTTTCCTTTATTTTTTAAATTACGTGCTGAATTAAACTACCTCACATTAAATGGGACGAATAGAGTAATAATTATAAGGTATATTATAATGAGGCTTAATTTTTTTATTATTTTTTGCCATTTTAAGTGATATTTCAATTATCTAGATAGATTACTTAATTCAGTATTGTAGCAGAGTACTAAGAAAATCAGACAACAATGGGACCCACTAACATTATGAGTTTTAAATAAGAATATTTTATTTTTTATTTCTTCTAGGACTTAGTGATTTTTGCTAAAATAGCCCTCGGAATTTAAGTTTATTTACTAAGAAAAAAGGGAATTTTTTTTTTTTTTTTATGCTTCTGATTTTGTCTGATTGGTCGATACAGTACTGTACTGTTTAATAAAAAAATAGAAAGAAGTACTGTACAAAATACCATTTAGATTTTAAAAGTACCAACATGGTATTTTTGTTGCAGCACGAGGACTTGGAAAAAATCACAAAAGGGCTTTTTGATTAAAAAAAAATAAAAATAAGTTTGATGAATTATTTGACATAAAATAATTTGATGAAATAAAAGTTGTACCACCAATGGAACACCTATAAAAATTACTATGTAGGAGTCATAAGTATTTATACTTTTTTTTGGACGAATCAAAGCAATAAAGGACTGAATCTTAGTAGATTGTGACAGTAATGTCGCTTTGCCACTTATAATATTTCATCGCGTATTTACGTCGTCTGCCAAGAATTCTACCTGTCGATGAAAATTGTACTCCAAGGTGGTCCACACGACTCTTCTACCGCGATTCCCTTGGGGGAAATCAAAAGATTCAAATTTTTTCCTTAAATTTTGATCAAATGAAAATCAGAAAATCAAATTAAAATGAAGGGAGCAATAATTTTGTGTATGTTTTAACTTTTAAATTAATAGCACTATTATAAATCTCAATTTTAAAACATAAAGATATTGGCGTTGAGTTTACCAACATAAACTTTTGTTTTTCTTTTTGGAGACGTGGTATAGAATTTGTAACATGGATTTAGTAAGAATATATTTTAGCATTCTATCATTTCAGTTAATAATATTCTGAATTAATTATCTTGAACTTTATCTTAATGAAATCCTAATTAGTTGTGGATTGCATTGAAGAAATAATTTACTTAGCTAAATTAGACCAATTGCCTTAATTGCTTTTTTTTAATAGTCAAGTTGAGAATCGAATTAATGTGCGTTGGCTTTTACTATAATTGAATATTTAGATTCTACTTGATCTAATTATAATAATCATTATTTGATTATTTTTTCATTTACTCTTGTTTAGTTGGTGATTATTAAAGTTTTCTCTAAATAACTAAAATCTTTGATGGTGACTTTTGACCTAAACTAAAAGATGAAGATTAATAATTAGAATGGTTGGTGCATATTCTAAATCAAACCCGTACAATTTTCTTCAAAAAGTCTTAAACAATTAAAGGCAATACAATACCATATTTGTAGCTTCTTCCTATTTCTTTTAAGCTAATAATGTAGGATTTTGTTCGCACATCCAATAATTTCTTTCTCGAACTAAGTTTTGATCCATACATCCATCGTTAAGATAATATTAATGGGATAATATGAAGATTTATTTCGTGTCACTCACATCATTCGAATATTTGCGACAACTATAGTTCATAACTCACATACTTCTTATGTGTTTTCAAGCTAAGAGTAAAGATAGTTATAACCTATGAAAGGGTAAATGTGGTAAAGATAATAAAGATAGTTCATTCTCATCTTGATGATTAATTGACTCTGATATTAATTGTTGGGCTAAGTCAATCCAAATATATTCATAACATAATGTGAAATACATATATTATTCACTTTAGATCAAGCCTACATGATTTTCTTCAAAATGCCTCATACTATTAAGAGTTTCCTCAATATAGAACTTTATCCACGCATCAAACAATTACTCATTCTTTTTTTCCTTTTTAATACAATAATGACGATATAATTTATCTACTCGATATTTAGATCAAATTATATATTCCACAACAATGAAAAAGTTATAAAATTGGTAGGATACACTTTGATGAAAG